CCATTCATCTGTTGATGGGCATCTAGGTTGTTTCCATCGTTTTGCTATTGTGAACAATGCTGCCATGAACATAGGTGTGCATATGTCTATTCGACCAACTACTCTGTTTTTTTGACAGCATGTATCATCACCTAATGCACATACGTTTATTTATTTATACATATAAATACATTTTTGTTTTTGTTTTTGTTTTCCTTTGTCTCTCCCACAGAACGTAAGTACTATAAAGGCAGGTTTACTGCTCAGTTTGTTCTTCATATATCTTGCACTCACAGCAATGCCTGATGTTCAGTAGACACCTGTAAATTGTTTTGACTGAATGAAGGAATATATAAGTTAAACACTTCTGAAGAATATAGGGTTGCTCTGAGTTGGAATCAACTCAACAGCAACAGGTTTGGTTTGGTTTTGGTTTGGAGAATAAGGGAGATTTTGTTGGCAAGGTTGTGCCAAAGAAAATAGAAGTTAAAAAAAAAAAAAAAAGGTGAGATGTGAACACTTCTAAGAAAAACTGAACTATTTCCCACTTCCGCTTAGCACCAATTTCACATATCCTCATGTAATTAGCATAAAATACTGTGACTATACTGAAAATTTACAATATAAATAAAAGTAATCAATTTAAATAATGTAATAATTTGATATGTATTTATTGTCTTTCAATATACTTGTTGATAGAGAACTTTACTAGTAATGAGCAAAACAATGCCTTGGGTTAAAAAAGAAAATCATTGGATCTAATATATTCATTCCATCAAGTTAGAACTAAAATAAAAATTGAAAATTTTACTTCTCAGATGTAAGCCTTCATTTTTGTTTTATATGTGAATGTATTATCGCAGTCATCTTTTATATGTAACCGTAAGATTTAAAAGATCAGGAAAAAAAACATACAGAATGCCTAACACACTCCACTTAATTTAATAGATGGAGAAATCGTGACCCTTTGGTTAAATGACTTATTTCAGGCTCATAAGGTTAGCTTAGCTGCAAAGCTGGAACCAGAACCCAAGTCACCTAGTCCCTTTGTAATCTTCTCACTATAATGAATGAAAGGTCTTATTATTTTCTAAAAATTCCTGTGATGGACATGAAAATGTGCCTCTCAGATCTGGAACTAAGAAGAATACTAACTGACCTAAGGTCTCAGTTATTGCATTCTGAAATCCCCCACCACTTTTTCGTCATAACCATACTTCTCCTGGGCATGCTTCCCAGTGAATGAGGTGGCAGGGATACTACGGCAGGCCCACTACTGGGAGACATGTGACTGCTCGAACTGACAGCTTTGACTGGAGGACTCCTAGTAGGCCTTGAGGAAACTCTCTTGGAATTGTACTGCAGTTTAAAATTCTTCCTACCCAACATGTCTTCCTTTCCTCTCTGCTCCACAAAGGTTAGATTTGCACTGAAGTCTGATGTCTCCCCCAGCCTCCTTTGGCTCCCTCCCCATTTTCCACAGAACCGTGGAGGAGCTGTTCTCAAAAGCTATTTGGAGAAGTAGATACTGTGATGCAAAGGGTGGCCGCTATGAAAAAGTACCTCTCAGATCTTCAACCACAGGGAGCCTAATTGACCAATAGCCTCAGTTGCTGGGCTCTGAAATCAATCCCCACATTCAAGCTGAGGCCACACATGAGTTGTTCCCAAGCTAATGACTGAGAATGACAGGGAAATTAAGGCAGACCCATTCCAGAGAAACACAGAACTCCTCTGATAAGCAATTTGGGATCAAGGACTCCTCATTGGCCTTGCCAAAACTTTCTTAGAATAGCTCTGCAGTCTAAAACCTAGCCTTCTTTCCTTACCTCTCTCATACACAGGGGTTCAAACCTGCATCATGGTCTGAATGTTCCCCCAGCACTCTCTAGCTCCCTCCCTATTTTCCATAATAAGTGTTTTTCTCAACAAACCTCTTGCATGTCTACCTTATCTTGGAGTCTGCTTCTTGGAGAGCCTGAATTAACACAAACCAACAACCAAACCCATTGCCACTGACTCGATTCTGACTCAAAGTGACCCTACAGGACAGAGTAGAACTGCCCCATAGGGTTTCAAAGGCTGTAATCTTTATGGAAGCTTACTGCCACATCTTTCTTCTGCAGAGCAACTGGTGGGTTTGAACCGCCAACCTTTTGGTTAGCAGCCAAGCACTTAACCACTGCACCACCAGGACTCCTTTGAACTAACACATTCCTTGTAAATTAAAAAGTCAGGATTTCCTTTATATTTTTTATATTATTACACAGGGCTTATTTTTACATTTATTAACTTTTTCTGAATTTAATTTTTATTTATCCCACTTTATTTATAAATATTTTTTAAATGTATAAAATAAAACATCTTTCCTAATGTCATTTTATTGTCCATTCAGCTGGAAGCATACATAGAAATCTGAACTATCAATTTTTCTTTCAAGACTCTACATTAGTATGAATTAAAAGCATACATTTTTGATTTGTTGGAATTTTAAAAATTAGTATTTTAATACTAAGCAGTTTACCCTCCTGGTAATTATTTAAAAACATTCAGGATGTGAACCAAAGATCCCCAGCCAGTGAAACCACCTGATCAAGGCAGACCAAACTCTGGACACTGCTTTGATATCTTCTAAAATAAACTCTATAGTAATGTCTCATTGTTTTACCAATACACTAACAGAACTTGGCTGAAGAACAGAGGGGCTGGTGTCATGGCTAAAGTCTTCTTGTACTTTTGTAAATCAGCAAGCTTTCTGTCAGCTATAGAACTCAAACATGTCCCAACCCAAGTAGGGAAATATAATTAATACTTTTCCAGTGCAACTCAAATAAATAGCTCAAAATACTTAGTAAATTTTCCACTATTCAAATAAATCTTCAACTAATCTCTAAGGAAAACAATTTTGTAAATTGCTTTAAATGGTAGGGAAAATAAAGCTTACTGGTAAAAACTTCTACAATTAGTACTATTAGAAACAAATTTGCCCCAAACAGGGAAAAGTTGTTCATACGCATTTTTAATATGTAACAAAGGCATTAAAATCAAAGAATAAAGTAAAACCAAAATTTAAAGTATTCCAAAATCCTAAATATAGATAAAACCTTGGAAAGTAAATTGACGTATTCATGTTCATATATCTTTAACTTCAAATTATCATCTTGAAATAGAAAAGACTGAGCCACGATTTTGCAACAGGTGAAAACATTACTCTTGACCAGGTATGATACTACCTTGGTCATTGTCTTGAATATTTAAAAAAAGTTTATAAAAAAATACTTTTAAGAAGCATATATTGTGATTTCACTCCACAGACACATAATATTATAAATATCCAATTTACTATACTTCACATGAATCCAAAGGACTAGCAGAAATAATTGGTAAAGAGCGACTTAAGATAGCTAAAAATAAAATCGAGAATATAAATAATGTCAAGATATGACTATCGGTTGGGGTAAAGTTCTCACCAACATTTACCACATGGATTTTTTTTTTTTTTTAAGTTTAATAAAAGAATTTAATTACCATTAACTTGGTCATAGTTGGTCTTGGTCCTCCTATAAATGAAGGATCACTTTGCTCCTCTACACCTGGGACCTCACTTAGATTTGGATGCTGCTCATTTGAGGTGGTCAGCAACTCTGGTAGATCCAGAAATTGAATTCCACACTTAGAAGCTGCTGTTTTTACTTTTGGCACTTCCTGAATCCTCTGGTACCAAGATGCCAGCAATGGAAATTCTACCAGCTTTTCAGAATGTTTCTTGCAGATAATTACCTAGGCAGGAAAGAGCAAAATACATTATATGTTGTTTGTTTATAGCTGTATTGAGGTATACTTCACATGGCATAAAATACACCCATTTTTAATCAATGAGTTTTAATAAATTTAAACATTGTGCAACCACTAGCAAATCCAGTTTTAGAACACTTTCATCGCCCTAAAAAGTTCCCTTGTACCTGTTTGTAGTCAATCTCTCTGCTCCCATGGCCAGACGCAGGCAACAACCTTTGGGCTGTCTCTTTAATTTTGCCTTTTCTAAACTTTGACATAAATGGAGTCATACAATATGCATCTATCTTTTTTTTATGCAGCATTTTATTTTGGGGGTTCATCCATGTAGTTGCACTTATCAGTAGTTTGTTCCTTTGTATTGATGAGTAGTAGTCCATTGTGTGGCTACATCATATTTTGTTTATCCATTCACCAGTTAATGGACATTTGAATTGTTTCCAGTTTTTGGCTATCATAAAGAATTCTGCTATACATATTCATGTGCAAGTCTTTATGTGGAAATCCTTTCACTTCTTATGAATGGATACCTAGGAGTCAAGTCACTAGGTTGTATGGTAGGTATATGTTAACTTTTTAAGAAACCACCAAACTTTTCCAGTGGCTGTACCATTTTAGGAGTCCTGGTGGTGCACTAGTTAAGAGCTATGGCTGCCAACCAAAAGGTCGGCAGTTTGAATCCACCAGCAGATCCTTGGAAACCCTATGAGGCAATTCTACTCTGTCCTATATGGTCACTATGAGTCGGAATCGACTCAACGGCAACAGGATTGGTTTTTTCCGGAACCATTTTATATTCCTACTAGCAATGTATGAAGGTTCCAGTTTCTCCACATCCTTGCCAGCACTTGGTATGGTCAGTATTTTTATTTTAGCCATTCTAGTGGGTATGCAGAAGTATCTCATTGTGATTTTAATTTGCATTTCCCTATAACTAACGATGTGGAGCATATTTTCATGTGCTTATTTGCCATTCATATAACTTCTTTGAGGTGTCTTTATGTTTTTATCATTCATTTCACAACATAAAAATTGGGGCAACTCTTGCATCCGGGGCTAACATCACTTCCATTATTGTACATGGATTAATGTATGCATCCCCCAAAACACTTTGAGTTAGAAATCTGAAATGTAAAAGAATTCTCAATAGACTTGATTTGTAATAATATTTCTTAATTTTTGTAACAATTTTGCATAATTTTTGAGACAGTATAATGAAGAAAACAAAATTGATCCATAATACTGCTGTACATCTAACCTCTGATATCATTAAACTTTATTATAAACACAAACATAATACATTTCCAATACTGGTGAAAAATTCAAAATACACAGTTAAAATAGAAAAAAGAAAAATCTCCAACCACCACCCTACCTCTCTCTCAGAGGTAAACAAAGTTAACAGTTGCTTGTATGTTCAAGGAAAAAAAAAAAGAGCATATACTTTATTTATACAAACAGGGACATAACAATATACACTATTTTACACCCTTGATTTTTTTCACTTACTAATATATCTTAAAGATCCTTCCATATTAGCATTATATTAATGTACCAAATTCTTTTTACCTTTGATTTGGAAATATCACACAAGTAATAAGTGTACAGTTTAATTTTCACACACAGACACAAACACACTGTATAACCACTGTCAAGATAAAAAATAGAACATAACCAGCATTCTGGAAGCTTCCTTCATGTCCCGAGTCAGCACAGCTTCCTAAAGAAACCTCTAAATGGAATCATACAGTACATACATACCCTTCTCTGTCAGACTTCTTACACTCAGTATTATGTTCTCAAGATTCTTCCACATTTTATTCATTCTTCTTGTGGAATAGTCTATTGTACGATACAGCACATTTTATATATTCTTTCTACTGTTGTTTTCAACTGGGTAGTTTTACTAATAGTGCTGGAAAGAACATTCTTGTGCATGCCTTTTGGTACATGTATGTATGCATTTTCTGTTGGATATAAACAGGAGTGGAACTGCTAGGTCATAGGGTATACATTTAAATTAGGAAATACTGCTAGCTTTCCGAAGTGTTTGCACTAATTTATACTCCCACCATTCAGTTTTAAGAGTTATACTTGTTCCACATTCTCCTCAATAATTGGCATTTTGTTTCATTAGTTTTAGCTATTCTAGTAAATATGTAGTGGTATTTCATTGTGGTTTTAATTTGCACTTCCTTAATGACTAATTTGGAGTCCTGGTGACACAGTAGTTAAGAGCTACAGCTGTTAACCAAAAGGTCAGCAGTCTGAATTCACCAGCTGCTCCTTGGAAATCCTATGGGGCAGTTCTACTCTGTACTATAGGGTTGCTATGAGTCGGAATCGACTCGACAGCAACGGGTTTGGTTTGGTTTTTTTTTTTTTCTTTTTAATGACTAACGTTGACCACCTCCTCATGTTTATTGAACATTTAAATATTTTCTTCGGTATAGTTCTTGTTTATGTCATTTGCCCATTTTTCAATTAGGTTTTTTTTTTTTAATTATAGTTCTTTTATTTTGGACGCGAGTATTTGCATATATTTACTGTGAATATCTTCTCCCACTGTGTGGTTTGTCTTTTCACTGTCTTAATGGTATTCAACAGAAGCTCTTATTTTAAATGAATTTCACTTTATCTTTTCTTTTATGATAACTATTTTTTCTGTGCTGTTTAAGAAACCTATTGCTACCTCAATGTCAATCTCTCCTCTGATACAGTCTAGAAGCTTTATTGTTTTACCCTTCATATTTAGATCAACAACCTATCTGGATTTGATTTTTGTATATGATATGAGGTAAGGTAAAGTTTAATTTGTATGAATAAAATATCCAATAGATCCACACTATTTACAGAAAAAAATCATCCTATCCCCAACCCACTCTCTATCTGTAGTGTGCTTTTGTTGTAAATTGGGTGACCTGAAAAAGATGTCCATTTCTGAACTCTCTATTCTGTTCACTTGGTCTATAAATCTATCTTTTGGCCATCATCACACTCTCTTAATTAGCAGGATATTAAAGCAAGTCTTGCTATCAAGAACTCCAACCTTGTTCTTCAATATTGCTTTGGCTATTCTAGTTCCTTTACATTACTACATAAATTTTAGAATTAGCTTGTCAGTTTCAACAAATGCAAACATACACGCACACAAAACATGCTGATTTGATTTGGATTTAAACTATAATTTGGGAGAGAATTGACATCTTAACAATAATTAAATTTTCCAATAAAAGGACATGGTATAACTCACCATTGATTTAGGATTTCTTTAATTTCTCTCAGTAACGTTTTGTAGTGTTTGTCATTTATTTTTAGGTGACCTTACGTATAACAGGGATCCCTGGTGGCACACTGCTTAAGAGCTTGGTTGCCATCCAAAAGATTGGCAGTTTGATTCCACCAGCCACTGCCCCTTGGAAACCCTATGGGGCATTCTACTCTGTCCTATAGGGTCGCTATGAGTCAGAATCAACTCAACGGCAACAAGTCATGTATAACAGAATGAAATGTTGAGCGGTTTTGTACCATCTTCATGATCTTCGGTGGTTTAATTCCATTGTTGTGGCTACTGTATCAATACATCTCACTGAGGATTTCCTTTCTTTCCACTGACCCTCTACCAACCACGATGTCCTTTTCTAAGAACTGGTCTTTCCTGATGACATGTTCAAAGTAAGCAAGCCGAAGTCTCCCAATCTTTACTTCTAAGGGGAATTCTGATTGTATTTCTTCTGATTTGTTCATTCTTCAGGCAGTCCACAGTATATTCAATATTCTTCGCCAACACCACAATTCGGATGCTTCAGTTCTTCTTCAGTCTTCCGTTTTTATTGTCCAGTTTTCCCATGCATATGCGGTGATTGAAAAGACCATGACTTGGGCCAAGTGCACCTTAGTCATCAAGTGGCATCTTTGCTTTTTAAAACTGTAAAAGAGTTCTTTTGCAGCAGATTTGTACAATGCAGGACATCATTTGATTTCTTGACTGCTGCTTTGATAAATATTGATTATCGATCCAAGTACAATTAAATCATTGACAAACTCAATTTTTTCTCCATTTATCATGATCTTGATTATCAGTCCAGTTGTGAGGATTTTCATGTCTACACATTTAGGCGTAATCTATCCTGAAGGCTGTAGTCTTTGACCTTCATCATAAGTACTTGAAGTCATCTTCGTTTTCAGCAAGCAAGGTTGTGTCATCTGCATATCACAGGTTGTTAATGTCTTCATCCAATCCTGATGTCCTGTTCGTTTTCATATATTCCAGCTTCTCTGATTATTTATTCAGCATTAAAACCAAAAAGCAAACCCATTGCCATCAAGTCAATTCTAACTCATAGCAACCCTATAGGACAGAGTAGAACTGCCCCATAAGGTTTCCAAGGAGCGCCTGGTGGATTCGAACTGCCGACTTATTGGTTAGCAGCCTACAGATTGAATAAGTAAAGTGAAAGGATACAATTCTGCCACACGTTTTCTGATTTTAAACCATGCCTTGTTTTTTCAAAAGACTGTCTCTTAATCCATTTAAGTGTTCTGGAATTACCATTTATCAAATTATTATCCATAATTTGTTATGATCCACACAGTCGAATGCCTTTGCATAGTCAATAAAACACAAACATCATTCTGTTATCCTCTGCTTTCAGCCAAGATCCATCAGCAGTGATATCCCTTGTCCTCTGTCCTCTTTTGAATCGGGCTTGAACTTCTGGCAGTTCCCTCTAGAGGTACGGCTACAGTCATTTTTTAATTATCTTCAGCAAAATTTTGTTAGCACATGATATGAATAATACTGTTTAATAATTTCCACATTCTGTTTGATCACCTTTCTTTGAATGGGCACAAATATGGATCTCTTACAGCCAGGTGGCCAAGTAGCTGTCTTCCAAATTTCCTGACATAGATAAGTAATAGCTTCCAGTGTTGCATCTGTTTGTTGAAGCATCTCAGTTGGTTTTCCATCAACTCCTATAGCC